GGTGGCATTTAATTTCGTTGTACGAGAAGTACAATGACAATAAAGATTACTACTACTACTAGTGAAGGGATTGGCAAAATGATTCACACCAAAGCAAGCTGACTGGAAGGGAGCGAAGTTGGGACAATGAATCGGGGAGAGACGCCACAAGGGCTCTGGGCTGAAGGGTGCACATTTCATTCTGGAATGAAAGGGAACCCTAAGCTAAGCAGCCGATTTCTTACAAACTGCCCTCAGTTTGCTGGTGTTCCTATTCTCAGCACCGAGTTGGAGAATTGCAGCCTCGCTCCAGATCCCCATTCCAACGTCCCGCCTGCAGCGCAGACGCAGACGGTGCAGCTGCGTTCGGGAAGCGGGCGGGAAAACCCTCAGGTGGGACCAGCAAGACTTGCACAAGGAGGCAAAACAGAGTGAAGAAAAGTTGTCTACTCAACAACCACATCCTTTCCTCAGCCCTTACTCCCCGGCAAACAGCAAACCATCTTTGCTACTGCAAACACTTGGGAAGCTGGTAACTGTTTCCATACCATGCGGAAGTCGCAGCGCCTTTGTTTGTGTGATCTGCTCATCAGCAGAAAAGGTGCCAGAAGTAGGTTAGCACCCGGACCTCCAGTTCCCGATGGCTGTCCGGTGGAAACGTTTTGAGTTGCCCTGACACCCGCGAGGGACACAAAGGAGAGGGCGCTGCTCAAATGGAGCTCCGCGGGATTCAATAGCACCCTCTGAGACTTCATGCGGTGTTCTAGAGAAAGGCCCCACTGATGTCCTCTTCCCAAGCAGCCCAGCAATGATTAAAATCATTGATTAAAATGTTCTAGATTTTCCAGTCCACTGAAAATCAGGATCCTGTTTGCACCTTTCATATTAACACATTTTATTAAAAGGCAGAGGCTTTCGTGGGCTGCGGCTCAGTTCATGTCTTTATGCCTTTTAATAAAATGGGTTAGTCCAGAAAGGTGCTACCATACCAACTGCTTGTGATTTTCTGCTGCTGTAGGCAAACATGGTCTCTTCCTACAATGTCTACAAGCTAGTGGGCATTGTAGGAAGAATTTGCACATCGAAAAAAGTGGAAATCCATGTATATGTGTGGAGCTCGGTCCTACATTTCCAAAATAATATAAAGAATGTCTTCTTTTGCAAAATTCATGTGATGTTTCTGGAAAGGAGGAGGAGGAGGAGGAGGAGGAGGAGAAGAAGAAGAAGAAGAAGAAATAACAACAACAATAATAATAATAATAATGAAAAAAGGGTAAGTCTGATAGACATGCCAGCTGAAAATAGAGATAATCAAACATTGGAAAACACTGTTCAACACTCAACATTTTATACAAACGCACACCTGCACAGCAAGAGCCAAGACGTGTTTTGTTACCTAAAATCCTGTGGGTGTGGTAGATGGCAAGACCTAGCAAAACGAACCGATCATATCTCATATTCTGACACTGAAAATGAATTCTTGGGTGGCATTTTGCTAACACGAGTCATGTCTGAGATCCCGGTTGACTCACTGTCGCTTTGGAAAAATGTGCACTTCTCCCCTTTCTCAGTAGTACTCATAGCCCTCTTCAAAGCTGGTTTATAACAGAACAGCAATGTCAGTTATTTGCACCTCACTAGGAAGGGACTAGGAAGGGTGGGGTGCAGGGATTCAGATTCTCAATTCCAGGTTTTATGCAAAAAGAGAACAAGCTGTAGGGACCCTCACTGTACAAAACTCCAAGCACGAAAAAAGGTAGCTCTGTGAGTAACGAATGCCATTTCGAATACCTTGCACATTGGTGACAATATCTGTGCAAGGGCAATAAGGCTGCTGAATGCCTTTTTTTCTTTTTTTAGAAAAACAGAGATAGCAAAAAAAAAAACCCAAGCAAACCCAGAGATAACAAAACCTGTGTTCTGAGTAGCTTGATCACGAAGCATCAAAGATTTCCCTTGATAAAAAAACTTATTTTTGTTTCTCTACCACCATTTAGTTCTTTGGAATCTACACCCTCCATGACAAAGACAAGGGGAAAAAAAGTTATGTACCCCTGCTCAAAAAGGCAATATAGAACTGAATTATTAACCCTCCTCACCAGCATTCTTTTCCTCTCCTAAATTAGTGTCCTCTGAATTAAACTAAAAAAACCCAAAATGCTGCAATTCATTTTAGCAATTGTACGTCTCTATGGGGAGGAGGCAGAGAAGAGAAAGAGGAGAAAAATTGGAGGTAAGCACGGAGGACTTCTTTCAGATAAATTATATAACATCGATGGAAACATTTCTAGCAACTTGGAAACAAGAAAATGAAACCATCAGCGCTTCCAGTCCTTTGATTTGATTGCAATGGAATTGTTGCAACGGAAGAATGATGTGTCAAAGGTTTGTGTCAGAACAAGTTTGGATGACAATCTCTTCAATGGCTTTGATCAACGGGCTACAAACAATAATGAAAATGGAGATTGTGGCACCTTGGAAAGCTTATCTGGAATGGAAAAGTTGACTTTGGGTTATCGTTTTTCTTAGAGTAACTGAAATGAGCGAAGCGTCATAATGAAATAACTGCATTTAGAGGTCTCAACGGGTAGAAATGGGATTTTTCCAAAGCATCAGTGCAAAAGAAACTCACCGGCGGATGCTCCCGCAGCAGGACTGTCCTCTAATTAATATATTCTGGAAGAAGAAAGTATATAAATTTGCCTTCATGATTTAGGCCTAAAGAGGCGTAGCTGTTTTAACTCAGAATTCACATTTTACTGTGCATTATCTCAGCGGGTTATTGAACTTTGTTAAACAACCAACAGCTAAACACCATGTTTGAAAAACTACTGCATGTGTCTAAATGTTCCCTTTCATTACAAAGGACGGGGACCAGTTTGAATATCAGACACTTTCCCACCATGAATGAATGTTATTTTCACATTTGCCTAAAAGAACAAAATGTTCTCTGCGCCTTTCAGATACTAGAATTCAAAGTTCTCCCATAAAAAGGGACCCTGTAGCTTTTATGTCCATCTTGAGGTCTTTCCATGGCCATTGTCTGGGGGAATCAATATTCTCTGTAATTATTTTTGATTCCACCCTAAGGTTATCATAGCCAGAACACAATTTTTTGAAATAATTTTTATTGTTTTTTTAATTAATAACAGAAAAAGAAAACACAAAAATAATAATACACTAACAAGGAGAAAAAAAATTAAAAAGTGCTATTATGAAAAAGTGACAAAGATACGACAAAGAAAATTTAAAAATTAGCATAGTATATCATTGTAACAGTAAATAGTTACAAATCTATATATATTTAACTAATGCAAATATTATTCAGATACATATATATTTCCAATACATTTACGTGACTGTCATTTTTTTAAACTACTGTATTTTGTATAAATGAGTCCCATATTTTATTATATTTGTTCATATAAAGTCTAAATCTATAGGTAACCCACTCATAAGTGGCAAGCGCAATCAGGTCTTCAACCCATTGAATAAATGGGGCCATATATTTATCTTTCCAATGTTGCAATATCAGACTTTTGTCCATAGTAAGGGCACGGAAAATCCATTTACATTGTCCAGTTGTCAAGTTCCATGTACTTAGGTATATAGTTCAAAAGATAATTATCCTCTGAAAATTTTAGATTTTGCCGCACCATCACATTTATACAGTCCACTACTTTCTCCCAAAACTTAGTAACTATAGGACATTGTAAAAACACATGCTTTAAAGAGGCCTTATCCTTATTACATCTCCAACAAAATGCTATTTTTGACAATCCTTTTCTATACCAGCGTAGTGGAGCCCAATAAATTCTAAATATTTTTTGTTGTATAAGTAATAGTTTTGACTTACCATTGACACTTGATATAGAAGTTAAAGCCAAAACAGAGTGTCAGACTGTGAACTTAGTCTTTACTTTGATGCTTTAGAACAGGGTTCTCCAAAGTGGTCAATGTTGACCCCCGAGGGTCAATGGGGCTATCCAAGGGCATGCTGTTGTTGTTGTCTGTAGTACTATTAAAGTAGTATTTATTAATTTTTTTTCATATAATAAATGTTTGGGGGTCTATGAACAACCTGAAAGTTCATGAAAGGATTGATGAGCTGAAGAGTTTGGGGTTAGGGTTAGGGTCTAGAAAGAGATCAGTCAGGTAAGAGCTTCACTTGTAAGCTTTCCAGAGGAATCGTGCTGGATTAGATGAGTTTTTCTCAATGAAATACGTTGGCACTTAGCAGCTGAGGACACCAGGTAAGTTGGGGAAGGCCGGAATAAGTAGACTTTTGTCTTAATCCAGCGATTCTTTTGATATTCTTGTTTTCCTCTGTTCAGAGAAGCAACATTCAAACAGGTTACTGTGTTGTAATTAGTTCTTCCTCTCTTTGAAGCTGGAAGGAGGAAGAGAAGAGGGGGCACTGTGAAAAAGAGTTAGAGTGGAAGAAAGAATCCATGGAAGAGGAACCCAGGAGTGATTTTCTGATACAACCTTAAGTAATAGCATTGGGTTCAAACAATTACTTTGCTTCATCGTTGTTGTGGAAGAGGAGGGTTAACACCCCCCACCCCGCCCCCCCACGCCCCCCTCCCCACAGAGTGGAAGATGTAGTTTGTTCCTCAGGAAGTTGTGGGCTGGCGCACACTGTGCAGAAAAAGTGCCAAGATAATATTCATGGTAGTTTCACCAGAACTTTGGAAGGTGCAGATGGAGGAACCAAGGGAGCCTTATTCCCCAACAAACCTGCGACCAGTTGAGCCAGTGCCAATGGTCACCATGAAGACCTTCCTGGGTGTGATCAGTCTCTTTGTTATCGCTCAACTTGTGGGGACTGTCTTTTATATTTTGCACCTTCACATGAAGTTAGACAAGGTAAGCCCAGTTTCTTTATACAGAAGATCTTGAGGATGGGTTTTCATGGCTGGGAAGGCAACTACAGCGGACCTCAGGCTTAATTACGTGATGTCAAAAGTTTATTCTGCTTTATGGGGTGGTGGTTAACATGTTGATCTTGGACTGGGGGTACCAAGGATCAGCTCCCATCTAGCTATGCAAGGTTGCTTAATGATTTTGAGTCAGTTACTCTTCCCAGCCCAACCTTACTCACTTGAGAGTTGTGGGAACACATTGGAAGAAAGAATCCTGTGTATGTTGTCTTAGCTCCTGGAGAAAAGACAGATATAAATCTAATGGATGGATGGATGGGTCATTCTTGATTATTCTCATTCCATTGAATGGAAGGAAGAGAAAGTGCATTCAGAGAAATTTCAAAGCAGAACATTTGAGGGGAGTTTTCCTGGCTCTGCTATGGGGTTTTTAATTGCAAGGAAGGTGCGCTTGAGTGGGGTCTGTCTTTCATTCTCTCTCCATCCATCTCCAGCCTCCCTGGCTTCCCACACATCCATTCAATCCCAAGAGAAGACCTTGGGAGTTTGCTCCTCCCAGAGGGCTTGTTCCTACTGGAAACTATGGCCAGCCAGGGAGGTTTCACAAGGATGGGAAGAGATGGAGCTGGAAATAGCCCCTCCCCCACCTGCAGCCTCCTTGGCTTCTCATGCTTCCATTAAATCCCAAGGGAATGTTTTGGAAGAGAACTTCTGCCACTGAGTTTTTCCTTGTTTCCTTCCTTTTTTAACCAAGGGAGGGCAGAAAGGCTGCAGAGTCATGGAAAAATAGGTAACAGGAACAAATAATCATAACCACATCCTCTCCTACCTTGGAACCTCAACCAAGGAAACTCAAAAATGTCTTTCAAAGAGAATGAAGAGAATGGGGCAGCAAAAGAGAACCATCCAATTTGGGGCAAACCAGAGAGCTGACTTGGAGAGAGTATTAGGCTGATGAAGTTAATGGATCACGAAGGCAGCCTATTGTTACTCCAGTATCCATCCTTCCCAGCCTACGGGAGCCTTCAGGAAAGGATACTGGGTGTAGGAGCTCCTACATGCGAAATGCACCCCTTTGCAATTGACCAACCACTCCATTTTATTTCAATCAATTCAATTTATTAGTAGGCTACGTAAAAACATAACTAAAGAAAGCAAACAGCGGCATCCCGACCAGCATCAGGCATTGTCTCTTTGGCACTGCAGCAACACGAAATGCAGCTGCCATGTTGGTGAGAGTTTTGAATAGGAGAGAAAGAGGAAAGTGGTGCTAAGCTGCCGGACTCTGTTTAACTCAGCCATCATGAGTCCCTGGTTCTTCCTTTTCCCAGTTCTGTGACAATACAGTAGGCACGACCAAGGGCGCCTTGAATTATCTCAGTGCACCCAACACAGCTAAAGTATCTGATAAACCGACTCCTTCTTCCTAAAGAAAGCGAATTCGGCTTCTGTTTCCCCCCAATTTCTCCAACGCAATGCGACTTATACAACCACTGGTGAACAACTGCATCTTTAACATGGTTCCAACACAGGTGGTTACAGAGGGAGGTTTAACCATTCAATGGTTTTTGATCTGCTGGCTAGATCCAGGGAACCCTTCATGGGGTAAAGCAACAGTCAGTCTTCCCCAAGAGTTGGCTTTCATTTATCTCCCACATTTTGTGCAGCACACACTACGTCACGTTTTATAGAATCCTAGAGTTCGAAGGGACCTAAGAGCTCAGCGACTCCAACCCCCTGTACCCTGCACTTTGTAACCAGGATGTTCTGCAAAGCTGGCTCAGGGCTCCCTCTGGCCTAATGGTAGAGCTTCGGAAATGTGCATAACCTGATTGGACAGAAGAAACTGCTTTGAACGTGGTCTTCATCCAACATTTTGGCCTTGATGGCTGGGAATGATGGGAGCTGAAATCCAACAGCTCTATCCCCTGGCTTAGAATGGGTGGTAGACCCCTTGTGAGTTCTGCTGGCCTTTCCACTGTTTGTTGATTTTTCTCTTTTGATGATATCTTCTGTGCGTTTACTGCGCTTTTATGGTGGCATTCTGTAAGGTTTCCAGAGTCGTAACAGATGAGGGCGGCCAATCAATCAATCAATCAATCGATTGATCAATCAATCAATCAATCAATCTGCAGGACCTCTGCTTGGGGAAGGCTACCTCAAATGTTGAATTTGTTTGCACGGTGTTTACAATTCCCAGGTTATTAATGTTGATATCTTTTGCTGTGTTCTGGGTCTAAGACAGAATGAAATCCAGAACCAACGGCAGACGGTTGATTCTTCCAAAGCAGAATAATAATAACAATAATAACAGCAACAACAAGAAGTCTAACACCATCAAACAACATCTGCCCATCCTAGGTCCTTGGGAAGGACTCGATAGGTGGATAAAAAGGCCAAATCCGGTCTAAACATCTGGCTGACTGTGCGACCAACCATAATACTTTATTAAATTTATATACCTCCCAACTCTCAGAGACTCTGGGCAATTCACTAATTGCTTAAAACATTAAAAACAGGAAGGGCAACAAAAACCCAAAACAGATAGATAGATAGATAGATAGATAGATAGATAGATAGATAGATAGATAGATAG